GGTTAAAGTGTAGGAGGGAGAGGGGGAGGGGTTTTAGACATTATTAACGAGCGAGAGGGAGGAGACTGATAAGGGAACAGGGGCATTAGATGATTAGCCAAAGAGGCTCGCAAACGATCGGGATATCTGAATACACCAAGGACCACACAGCCGAAGCAAGCTATTGGTGTGTCTCGCATCTGCTTTCGCAGGACGTCGAACATCATCAGATTTCATGTTTGGAAATAGAGAAAGCAAAAAAAAAAAAAAAAAAGAGATGAGAAGAGAAGTAGAGAAGAGAGTAGAGAGAAAGAAAGAAAGAAGGGATGGGAGAGAGAGAGAAGAGAGAGAGAGAGAGAGAAGAGAGAGAGAGAGAGGAGAGAGAGAGAGAGAGATGAGAGAGAGAGAGAGAAGAGAGAGAGAGACGAGAGAAAAGAAAGAAGGGAGAGAGAGGAGAGAGGAGAGGAAGGGGAGGAAAAGAGAAAGAGAAGGAGAATAAAGAAAGGGGAAGAAAGAAAGAAAGAGAGAAAGTAACTTTGGAGCTCCATTGAAGAAAACCCCATTCACACGGACCAACATGATATTACCACAGTCGTCATGACCCTCATCACTTCCGCTCACTTCTAACCACGCATCTCAAATCTTCTTCGAAATTTTAGTACATAAGGAATCCCGTAAAAAAAGAAGGAGAAAAGGAAGAAGAAGAACAACTATAATAACAATAAGGAGGAGGAGGAAGAAGGAGAAAAAGAAGAAAAGATGATAAAAAAGGGTGAAGAAAGAGGAAATGAAACCACAGCGAAGCCTCAGAACCACTCCTGACGGAACCTGCTCTTGGTACGTGCTCTAGCGTAAGTCTTAGGGTGAATGAGAAAGACGGAGAAGAGGAAGTTGAGTGTCTTAGAAAGGGTGAATGAGAAAGAGGGAGAGAAGGGGGATGGCGGAGTGTCTTAGAAAGGTGACATGAGAAAGAGGTGAGAGAAGGGAGAGAAGGGGGTAAGGACGAAGCGTACATGAGGAGGAGGAGAGAGAGAGAGAGAGAGAGAAGAGAGAAGAGGAGAGAGGAGAGAGAAGAGGTGGAGAGGGAGAGGAGAAGGCGAAGGATGGAGGAGAAGGTGAAGGAGAAGAGAGAGAGAGAAGCGAAGCGAAGCGTACATGGAAATAAGGGGAGGTTACGGGACGAGGTGGGGAGGGAGAGGGAGAAGGAGAGAGAGAGAGAGAGAGAGAGAGAGAGAGAGAGAGAGAGAGAGAGAGAGAGAGAGGAGAGAGAGAGAGAGAGAGAGAGAGAGAGAGAGAAGAGAAGCGCGATGAAAGAGTTCGAGATTGGACCGAGGGGCGAGAACCAAATAGAGAGCCGAGAAAAGTGTGCATTCACGAGGCCCCGATGGTAATTGATTCATTTCGCAAGCAGTCGCCCGCGAGAAAAATGATCGATGGGGCCAGAGATGCAATCAACGTCGCTGACACCTTGTATGACGAGATAAGAGATCATTAAAACACAATAATGTTCAGCTGCGTAAAAGTCCCGCCACAATCGCCCGCGAAGATGTTAAAAATCCTCAGGAAGAAAGAGTAAGAGTTTTGTGGGATGCTGTGAGACGGGGAGAAGGGGGGGGGGAGGAGGGGTGGAGAGGATGTGCGGGAGGCGGGACGGGGAGGGGGCCCCATGGGTTGGAGTGTGGAGGAGGGAGGGAGGGGGGGGGGCAGGGAGAAGAGGGAGGGGTGATGGTCACAGCAGGAGTGAGGTGGGAGGGGGTGGAGGTCAGATGGGAGAGTGGAGGTGGGAGGGGGAGGAGACAGCCTCGGGCACACCTTGATGTCTTCATTACTGACTCCCTGTGTCCCGATGTCTGCGCGGCCGTCTTCGTTCCGGATAATCGCGCTGGAAACCGGCGAGGATTTCAATTACCGGCGCGCATTCGGGGCGTCGATGAAAGCGAGTGATCGGCCGAATGTGTTCCCCGAAAGCGGCCCGTCCGGAGGGGAGACGCGGCCGAGAGCGAAGCGAGGAGAAGACCTCCGTTGCAGGGGCCCGGACGTGGACATCTCGACGGTGGTCCGGCCGCGCACCGCTCCGCACACTGCAACATTACCCCCTTATTTGGTGTAATTTAGCAGCGACTCCAAAGCCCGCCACCCTCGTCGACGGCGCTCTGGGAAGTGGAAAGTCCAGCTAGTGCCAAGTCCGGCGTGATCTTTGGTGGTCCGTCTCGGAAAGGCCTGCCGGACGGTCCCCGGGGAGTGCCAGCCGCGACCGCCAGCGCCGTTCGTCAGGCCTCCGCGTCGGGAAGGGACGGCGGTAACTCCGGGGAGACTGACAGTCGGTCTGAAAAGGGCCGAAGGACTCGGTGCTTCGAGGAGGCTTCAAAGTCCTGCAAGGTAAACGAAGACGCCTGACATCGTTGAGCGAAATGCGTCAAGACAATTTGACCCGCTGTCTGCCGCGTGACGCCATCCAGCCGCCTCGCCCGTGGTCCCGATTCATTCTCATCGACTGTCTTTTTTTTCTTCTTCTTCGGAGGCATGTGAGACGAGACGCTGGGGAAAAAAGAGAAAGATAGAGAGAGAACGCAGAAGAGGAGAGAGGGAGAGAGAGAGAAGAGAAGAGAGAAAGGTTGTCGTCGGCACCTGCGCCAGTCGTTGTGCAAAAGCGGCCGACTGTTCATTTGAAATTCTAAGACCCGCTACGTAACTCACCCCGCCACAGAAGGAAATTATGCCGCAAAAATTGACACCGGAGCGGGGCATCTTTGGCAACGGGGGAGATGAAGACACGGCGGGAAGAAAATGATAATAGGGGGAAGAGGAAAGAATACGTGGTCGCCAAAGGAGGTGCGGCGAGAGGGCGAAGATGGAGAAGAAGAAGAAGCGAGAAGAGACAAAGGAATGCGAAGCGTAAGATACGACTTCATTAGAGACAATCGCTAATTGTCCCTGTGGGTTTCGCTTTGTTAATTTCGCGCCGGGATGCAGACCCTTTGTGAATGCAGAAGGAGGGAAAAAGACTCGAGAGGACGTGGATGCTCGGGGATGTGAAGAGAGAAAGAAAGAAGAGGATAAAGATAAGAGAAATGCCCCCAGAGAAGAAGAAAACGAGAAGAAAAAAAAATATTGGTACCTGCGTGTGTACGTGGAGGTAAAACCGAGAACTTTAAAGTAAAGCCGAACGATATTTATATAGAAACAAAAAATATATATATAGATAAAGACCGCAAAAAAAGCTGATAGTAATATCGGAACAGCTTGGTACCTGCGTGTGTACGTGGAGGTAAAACCGAGGACTTTAAAGTACAGCCGTAAGATATTTATATAGAAACGAAGAATATATATGATAAAGACCGCCATAAAAGCAGATAATAATTCGAAAGAGCGCATTTCGTAATTTATATACCCGCGCCAATTTAATTAGAGCCCCGATTTGAATACGCGCCGGGAGGAGCCGAGCGCCCGAGCCAGCCCCGAGTGACGGAGCACACACACAGCCTAATGAAGAGGAGGAGGAGGAGGAGGAAGAGGGAAGAGAGGTGGACGGAGGAGGAGGAAGAGAGGTGGAGGTGGAGAGGAGGGAGGAGGGGAGGGAGCAGGCAGAGGAGAAGAGCAAGAGGAGGGAAGAGGGTGGAGGAGGGAGGCAGGGAGGTGGTGGTTCCCCGAGTGGTGGAGTGGGAGAGGACGAGGACCGAGGACGAGAGGGGGAGGAGGAGAGGAGACGAGGAAGAGGAAGGGGGAGGAGGAGGACGAAGGATGGAGGAGCTGGTTCGCGGCCGTATCGTGTCGGGAGAGCGAGCGCGCGCGGACGGGCGACGGGCGCGGACGGCGGCGAATGCGATTGAAACGGATTAATTGAGGGAATCGCCCGACTGCCTTTTCCGGCGGGGCTCCGTAGGTCGTAGATCCGAGCGCAAAGCCTCTCGTCACACACGACTTCGGGTCCTTAAGCGGCCCGGTCGTTTCGGAGATAACTAACGGCGCCGGCACGACTCCCGATAAAACAATGGCGGCCGTTTTTATTTCTCTTGCGCCCTCACCTCCGTTTTGGTCCTTGTCTCGGTTCTGT